TGGGGTATATGTATCATGATGCCTGAGGGGAAGCCATGCCTCAGGCTTTTATTTCAACTTAAGTGGGAATTGACTCACATCTCCCTCTCCCAGTTCCATCTCCATGGCACACTGGTTTTTGTTTCTAGCATGGCACCTGCAGCTTTTTGAGTTGGGAGACCAACAGCCTGGGACACAGATGCATGAATGCCGATAATCCTGATAGGGAGACAAGGGGCTAGGCTGGAACACAGCTGGAATTCTCGATGGTTCTGGACCCAAGGCTGTTTACAAACAGTGTGAGGAAGGATAAGATGTCCACTCAATTTGCCACAGCTCAGTTTCCCTCCCATGTGATGAGGGCAGTGGGCCAGTGATCTCTAATGTTCCCTGAGTCCCAGGCTCTCTCAGGATCGAAGTGTTTGGGAATTCCAAGGGTCACTGTTAGGTGTCAGGCTGTGCCAGGGCCCTCGTGCATGTACTTTGATAGGAAGGGCCAATTTAATTTTGCAATTCACAGCCCTGGCCTGCACTGGAGGTGACTATCTGGAAAACCTCTTCACCTGCTGCCCCGGGGGCATAACCTGCTTTTCCAACCTAGGATGTAAGGCTTCCAAGACAGAAAATGCCTGCTGAGGAGCTGCAGTGGGAAAGAGCAGCCAGTTAACTTCCCTGTTGCCCATGGCTCCTCACAGGAGTGAATATACTGGGAAAAATGTGGCCTTAGAGCCATTCTCCTGCCATGTCTCCTACTGAGCAGGACTATTACCTTCCATTTACTGAGCTTCAGCTAGGCGTCATGCACTCCCTCACATTCTCACAGTGATTCTATGAAATTGATATTTTTATTTATCTATAGAAGAGGAGCCTGCAGCTCAGAGAGGTTAAGTAAAGGCCACAGTCACAGAGCTACTAAATCAAAGAGTAAGGATTCAAGCTTCAGCTGACTCACTCCAAGGCCATTTCTCATCTGCCATGACACATGGTGACTCAATCCCATACCCTTAGTGACCAAGTTCCATTTGCCTGACAAGAGTCCTTTCGTCTCTGCTTCACATCCCACCTCCTGTAACCTCTCCTTTCAGTTGGCTACTACCTCCTGGCCCATGATCATGGATGCTTGTCCAATTTTAAAACAGACAATACACACAGTCCTTCCTCAGCCCCATGCTTTCCCTCATCCCTCTCACATCCATGCTCGGTGCCTCTGTTTTCGCATCTCCATTCACTCCCCCAACTTGCTGCATGTCACTAAATTACTCGGGAAAATTTTGACCCTTTCACTCAGAGATTCAATCAGTAGGTGTCAGTCCTCGCAGCAGGCGACACTCTTGACTGCCTCCTTCTTACACAAACATTCTCTCAGCTCCGTTTCCATGGTGCCCTTCTCTCCGTCACCCCCCATGCAGCTTCGCCTGCTCCATCTCCTCTTCCTCAGCCCACGCTGTAAACGTTGAAGGGCTCTGCCTCCAGCCCCTCTTTCACTGCGGAGTATCTCGGGCTAATCACCTACCATCCTGGCTGCAGCCTCCGCCTGCACACTGATGGCTCTCCAGTCTCTATTTCCAGTCCTGGCCTCAGGTCTGAGCTTCAGTGTCACAGCTATAATTTCCCACATGGCCCCTGAGTGCCCCATGGGGCTTCACAGTCAACATGTTTAAAATCACACTCCCAAACTTTTCTTCTCCCAAACTCACTTCTCTTTTTATGTTCTCTATCCAGCTAGTGACATTCAACCAGTACTCAGATAATCCATCCAGTAACCCAAGTGGGAGACCTGGATTCCTAGGTGCCTGCCACGCCTTCACACCCTCAGCACACCACACATATCACGTCCACACCCAGTTGCTAAGTCCTATCAGTCCTACCTCCAAATACCTCTTGCCTTAGGCCCCTCTTGGTTCCCACCGCTGAGCTCAGGCCCCTCAGGGACAGGTGCGTTAGCCTCCCCAAGGGCCGTGCTCCCCTCTAGTCTTGCTCTGGCACCCACCCTTCAATCCAGCACAGCTAGAATGGTCTTGCTCACATGGAGAGCTGGGCTTGTCTCTTCCAGATCGTGACCCTTCAGGGACTCTCCATCATCCAAGGATCTCGCTGTGTCCACCTCTCCTGCCTCTTCTTCCTTCACTCCCCACAAAGCCGAGCTCTGCTTGGGGAGAAATACCTGCAGCTCTCAGCTCCCTCTTCCCTTTCACGTTTGCTCCACCTACCTGAAGAGCCTTTCCTTTTGCTCTCCCCCCATGAAGACTTACTCTTCCTCTAAGCCCCGGCTCCCTCCTCAGGAACCTTCCCTCGGCCAAGCTGCACCTATCCCACTGTCTGCTTTCCATGTGCCCGCTCACCACACTCATTGCAGCCCCTGCTCACTTCAGCTGTGTCTGTGTGCAGATGGTGCTTCTCCCCTGAGAGAGCAGGTGTTTGCATTCTTGGCACTGTGCACAGGCCTGGCATACCATGCCTGTTAGGGTGGGTGTTGTTGAGTAATAATATGTTATGTGCAGGTCTTTGGGGAAAGATGCCCAGATGGAACCCCAGCTGATAGGCATAGAATCATACAAGTTTGAAGCCAGGGATAAAGCCCAACCTTGTACATAAAATCCAGCCACTTCTTTATCTTTTCCATCTTTGTGTATTGAGCACCTTTTGTGGGGCAGGCACACTGTCCTGGGCACTGAAATTCCAGGATGAATGAAAGCTCCAGGCTACTGCAGACTTGGAGGTCAGGGCTTAGGAAGCCAAAGTAGGAGTATCTCTGACACCTTATGAACAGGTGCAGTGGCCTCAGGGTGAATAAATATGTGCTTTTGTCTTTTATTGGCAGGGTGTGGTGGCTGGAGGTTCTGTCCCACCTCTCAATGCAGACGTTGTCAATGGGGATTAAAGGATCAAGAGAGTTTTACTAAACCTGAATTAAAGGAAGTGTGTAGCAACATCATTAAATTGCACATGGAGTGGAGAATCGGAACCTCTGACTTTGACAGGGACCATGGGAAAAAACATTTTAAACCTTGTGCTATAGCATAGTATCTCCCACTTGGCATTCATATTTGCATTCAGTATCTATGTATGTATCTGTATATGATGTGATGGGTGGTTCTGGGTGGTCTTAGAAAGTAGATGAATAGGAAAGAAACCATGTTAAGAAGTTTAAAATCTTCAAGGGGAGCTAATGCACACATAAACATAACCGAAACACAACAAATCCCAGAACGATTGTGCTCTGAGTTTTGTCCATAAGCTCATAAGGTGTTCTGGGCCAGTGAGCATGCTACTGGGAGCAAGATGCTTAAAAGGGCCAAGGATATATAGGCCAGTTACCTGGGGACAGATCTGCTCACTGACCACAGGTGAGCCCCAAGCCCATCAAGCCCCTGGCCTTATTCCTGAAAACCCCCTTGTGCGTAGGATAGGGGGGCCTGTTGGATACTGGGGCAGGTCCAGAGCAATTAGAATCTTGCTAAGGCTTCTGCTACAAAGAACAGTCAATTCCTAAACCTGGATGTCTGCTCTTATTTTAATTTTGCATGATCTGGTAATGGGACTGATCCTGAATCATGGGAATTTAAAATGGGATGTCCCAAGTTTTTAAATACACAGTCTCCCTTTACAAAGTTAACACGTTCCTGTTTAAAAAAATACTGTTTAAATCAGAGAGCATACAATACAAACTTTTTAAAGATTTGTTTGGTTTCAGACAGAGAAAACAAGCCTTCTGTTGACATGGATTAGGGGAACAGTACTAAAAAACATCAAAGATACACACACACACACACACACCATATCATTTACAGGGAACACCCTCTGTCTTTCCCATATGCGGAGTGGAAAACGGGGCCAGAATGATCCTGCAGAAACTTCCTGATCAAAACACCCCGGTCAGCCGCTCCCAAGGCTGAACCTGGCTGCCGCAGAACTCCAGCCGGGGCTCCAGCGCCTCCTTCGTGGCTCCGAATATGCTGGGCCATGCGGGCAGCCGCCGACTTAAGGGGCTAATGGAGTCCACAGTCTCTGGCACCAGGGGCGAGGTGCTGGGGATACCTCCCCTTCCCTTCCAGCCCCATCTGGCAGAAAGACTCCAGATTATCAACCTAGGAATCACGTAAACCACCCCACCCCCGCCCGCCCCCGTTAATCACTCCTCCTCTTCTAGAGCCACTTTCCCCCCCACCCCAAGCCTGGGCGCCGTCGTCACGCCTTCTCTAAGGCGACTCCAGGATCTGCATCCCCGACCCCCTCACAAGCAGCTTTTGCAAAAAACAAAACGAAACAAAACCAAGAGAAAGAGAAAAAGAAAGGAGGGGTGCTTCTTTGTTCTTTCACCGGGTTGACTCATTTCATGGAATTCAACTCCCACCCCCATCCCAAGTCGGCAAACTTCTCTCCCTTTCACACCGACTGCTGGCCGCTGCATCCACGGAGGCGTTCTCCGCTCCTGGTCCCAGGCTGAGTGCTCGTCCCGTGCTTAGTTAAGTCTCATAGCAAGCCTCTGAGGTAGTTTCGTTACCCCTTCCTTACAGATGCCTAGAACAGAGAGTAACCTGCCCAGGGTCTTACAACTAATACACGTACGGCTAGGTTTGGAGCCCAAGTCCGTTTTGACCCCAGCCCACTAAATCTTTATTGCTGTTCTTCATATAGGAAGACTAAGAATAATAGCTAATATCTATTGGGCAATCACTATTTGCCAGGCACTGTGCAGTGTTTCTCCAAACTACCCTCACAGGCAGGTCTGCCACTTACCACTTATGTGATCTTGAGTAAATTTCTTAATTTCTTTTTGACTCAATTCCCTTCCAGCAAAATGAGGCTTAAAATATGGCTGTTGTGAAGAGTAAATGAATCAATGTATGTAAATCACTTAGAACACAGACTGTCACCGATTAATCCCTCATGAATTTGTCTTTAAAAAAACAACTCTTTCTTCCATTCACAGGCAAGGCACCTAAGCTTGGAGAGACGAAGCAGTTTATTAGTCAGTATTGCCCACACTGCAGCACAGAGGTGATCATTAGTGGGGCGGGATGCAGGCCCGCCGGCAGGTGAGTGGCCCCCGGCAAGTGGAAGGCGTGCTGCTTCAGCGTTGCCTCGACGACAGGTGCTAAGCTAGCACGGCAGTCTGGGGGCCGCCTCGTTCCGGGTTCGGGCGTGCGGGGCCCAAGCCGTGTGTGTGTGTGTGTGTGTGTGCGCGCGCGCGCACTCCCGGACCCCTCCCAAAAGCACTGCGTGCGACACCTGTGCGCCGGAACGGGCTGCCCCCGCCGCCCGGCGCGCACACTCACACCCGCCGCCTCGAGCCCCGACCCGGAGCCCGCCGCCCGCCGCCCGTCCGCGCTCCCCCGCCCGCCGCGCTCCAGGGCGGAGTTTCCTCCTCGGCTCATTGTTCGCGGCCCAGCGCCAGCCCAGCGCGGCCCCTCCCGCCCGCCGCAGCCCGCGCGCTCTGGGGGAGGGGCGGGGCCGGGGGCCGGCGCGGACGGGACGGGAGTCGCCGCAGCAGCCGCCGGACCGCAGCCGCGCAGACACCGCCTGCGACGCAACAGCCCGCCGCTCCTTCGCCTGGCTCCGCGCCTCCAGCCGGCTGTGCCGCAGCGGCCGCGAGGAGGGCCGCCGGAGCGGAGCGCGCATTGGGAGCCACCACCAGCGTCCCCGAGCGGCGCCCACGCTCCCGCGCCCGGCCGCCGAGACGCGCAGCCACCTGCTCCAGGCCCGAGGCGGACACGATGAGCTCCGCACTAGCGCTCGCGTTCGCCCTCCTGCTGCTGCTTACGCTCCCCAGGACCGGTGAGTGCCAGCCCGCCCGGACCCCCACCGTCCGCGCCCGCTGCGCGCTAGCCCACCGCGCCTCGTGGCCGCACCCCGAGCCGCCCCTGCGCGCACCGCTTGCTGGGGCCGACTCGGAGCCCTGACCTTGCAGCATCCACGCCCCTTCCAAATCCGAGAAAACGCCGCACGTGCGGCGCCGCGAGCGTGGACTGTCTCTTCTCCGCTCGGGTGGAGGGGGCAGTGGGTTGTGCCGGGCCAGCGGGCGCGGCGGCGCTGAGTGGGCTTGCGGGACAATCCACGCGGGGACTTAGAGAGGCTCCAGCTTCTGCGGGATCCCCAAGTCTGATCACTCCTGTTCTCTGTGCTGGAGGGGAGGCAGGGATGGTATTGTGTAGCTGTTTATTTTCAGGCAAAGCGTCAGGCTGGAAGCTCATGAGAAAGTCCCTGAGGCAGGTGACAAGCCTCCAGTAACGGCCCATGCGGGCGGGGCGTTATGCATTCTCAGAGGTTTGACCTATCAGTGTGTGCACGCTCAGACACCTGAGTCCGTGCTTGGAGAGGTGGAGGGGAGAAAGCGGACATTCCCCAGTCCCAGAGTCACCCGGCTGAGTTGGGTCCCTGCTGTCATGTCACCAACCCCTAGTGCCTGGCTAGGAAGGAGAGACCTCCCAATCCCCTTGTACATACAGGAACTTCTCTTTCATGAAATCAACTTGGGTGCACCTTAAAAAAACACCCCCATATTTCTCTAAAGGTGAAATGTTACCCTTTTGGTGGAGGGACAGGCAGTGGCTACAAACCCAACCAGAGCCGGTGTCCCAAAGCCCCTAGGAACAGCTGGAGTCTCAGTCTCGGGAGAGAGGTGCATTTTTTCTCCACCGCCTGAGCATGTGTCTGTAGGGAGAAAGAGTGGAGGTGGTGCTTCCACCCCAGAAGGACTTCAGTGACAGCCCAGACAGGGATGGGACCCTGCTGCTGGCAGGGGCTGGCATTTGGGACTACACTCTTAGGAGAGATGGAATGGCAGTAGAGTCTCCTGTCTGCACCATGGGGAGCCTTTGGTGGGAAGGGGCTGGCACTTACAGCAAGCAGGTGGGGGCACCCTTCAGTGGGAGCTCCTGAGACTCCACCAGCCGGCCAAAAAGGAAAGGGCACACCCAGGAGCAGAGGGTGTGTGTGCCAAGGAGGAGGCATAGTGTGAGGACCGGTCAGAACAGCTCTGAGAACGGCAGTTGCTGCATATTTGCACGACCTGCAGGGCTGAGAAGATGCTGGAGTGCAGCCACTCTCCCCACTCCTGCTCTCAGGGCCAGACTTCAGTGTGGGCTCTGACCTGTGCTCTTTTGTAGGGAGAGGCCTCTTAACACCATCCAGAAGGGAGATGGGCTGTCAGGAAGGATGGGCTAGTTCTCAGAGCTTGTGGCCTAAAGAGGCTGAGCTTTGAGGAAAGGGTGGCGGGCTGGCCCACTCTTAAGAGGAGCTGCTCTGGAGCCACCAGTGGGAAAAGCTCCAAGCCCAGCTCCCTGCTGGCTTCAAGGCTGGGACTGTCTTCCCTGGCATGTGGGCACTGCCCAGAAACCATGCC